ATGTGGACCTGTCTGTGCCTGACAGGACGGCAGAGATCAAACGACATTGTGGAAGGTGAAGAGCCTTTCCTTTCGCCAGCTTCGCTGTGTGACGCGTGGCAGAAGAGGCCAGTTGCAGCCTGACTGACCAGGGAGTCAAACCGCTTACTAACCTGTTTAGTATACAAAACACTAGCACTGAATGCTGGCAGAATGGAAGTGAGTGCTAAAATACTGTCTGCATCAACATCTGTCCACCATCATCATCATTTGACCATCTCATATTACTGTTTGGGGAGACTGGGGCCAAATGTAGTATTTTAGTAATAAAGAAGTAGAAATAGTAATCAAGATAGTAATCAGTGTGCCATATTTCAGTAAGACACATTTATAAGTTCCAACAGTACTAATTCTATTATAATAGATACACACAGGAAAACCATATAATCATATTACATTTCATCTAAAAGGTCATTATATTTAAGGGTGATTTTGATATATATGAAACATATGCTATATTTTTGTATAAGACACATTTATGTACAAGAGTTCTAAGATTAATAATATGATTATCACATTTGCATACAAAAAAACATCATGTTAAATTTATTTTTTAAACAAGTCTGAATGTTAAAGGACGATTTTGTAAAACAAATGCGACAAAAAAATTATATCAATAACTTATTTCAATTACTGAATTGTATTACCTTTACAGTCCTAATTCTTTTAGCTGCCATGAATAATTTGAGTTTAAAGCAAAAGTCTAAGTGGTACCTACTTTATTATTATGCTAAATGGGTTAAATCCCTTTAACTAAAATATATTTTTCAGCTAATAAGTCAAGGACAGTCTTCAACTAGCTACTTTAATGAAATAATGTTCATTTTAAATTATAAAGGTTCATTCTTTGCGGTCATACAATTTTAATTTGATAACTAGTGTTACAAAAGCCACCGACGGCCACACAGTTATGATAAAATCCTGTATGATTAGATATTATACAGTATATTATATTTTAAAATGTCTCTCTCTCTCTGTGTGTATATATATATATATATATATATATATACAGAGAGAGACTCATATTCATATAGAGAATCAGAGTAATATATATAATATTACTTTGAAATTCAAGGCATCAAAAGTGAAGTGGAAAAAACATGGACAATAAAAAAATTTTGGAAATTTCTCTCAAAATGATATGTTCGTCTCCAGGCAGAGAAAGAGAGTTGAATGACTCATAATTCTACCTTGTTTATAATATTTATTGTGTTGCAGTTGTCCCAGGTCTTCCCTATAATAATTTGCACAAAATTACAGAATGGCGGTTTGTACAATTATAGTACACAAAAAGTCGTTCTTAATTTATAACATTATTTTACATTCATGCACAATCACACAAAAAATCTAGTGGAAAGTAACTAGAAAAAAAGTTTAGACATTTCTGTTGACGTGAACCAGACTGACTTCAGACTCCCACCGTCTGCCAGCATCTGATTATAACCAGCATAGATGCATGTGACCCAAAGCTATAGCACGGCGCCACAACCCAATTTCACCGCTTTCTGAGCACACATCAAGAGCGATTCATCACTGTCGTACTTGCAGACATCTCTTCCAAAAGCCCGACCCCTTTTGTGTTTTTATCTGCCGTGAACCTGCAAAGTGAGCAGCGCTGAACAATGTAATGGGTGTCAACCGGTGGCAATGCCCGAGTTCAGTCTCTGCTCAGCATCAATTATTGTTCCAACACTGTGATGCTTTCCAGAGTCAGCAGCAACTACCCCCATCTTTGATCATCTCGCTACACCCGATCAAAGGTGTGTAAATCAGGTTCAGAGTGTTCCTATAAGATGCAATGGAAAAAAGTGCTAAAATATTTTTACTTCTTAAAAAACTGAATCTGTAACCATTTCAAAATGATTTGAAATAGAAAATATAGTCATTTACACCCTAAAATGTGCACAGCTTGCATATGAGACATCACAGACACAAATATTAAATATTTGCTCAAGCGTTAACACCTTTCCAATTGCTGTTTATTTTCCGTGACTGTAAACAGTTTAAATGGTCATCGTTATATCAGTCCACCTTTCCAGCGCAGTTGTTCCCTTGAATTACCTCGTGAATGATTTATGTTCACCGCTACGGCTTTCGATGGCTAAAGGCTGAGGGCCAATAAAGATTTTTTTCATAGGTAAACACGCCACATTAAAAGCCAGCGCTTCAAAGACGTTTCGGCTACAAGGAGAACATTTGGTCTCATTTCACTTGTCAAACATGTGAGTGTCACAACCACTCAGACAACACAAACCATTTCCCATAAGTAAACACAGCCTGCCATAAAGCTAAGCAAGGTAGCAGGACTCTAAGCACACAGACAGACTCAGGCTAAACCACTGGAGCTACTTTGTTAATGGATCTAGTAGTTATTTGCTTGCAGGTAATAGCTGATTTATCGCTTCAAAGTGGTAAAAGCGTGTTAAAGCCAAATTTAGAGAGGTTTTAATGGGTCGTGGTGTCACAAATGTAGAAGCGCAGATTAGAAACTAAGCGGTTACCATTAAACCTGCAAAAATAATCAGTGTTTTTCCATGCAGGCTCATCTCGAAACAAATAGAAACAGTCTATTCTGGGCATAGAGTATTCAAATAGACCTGAGAACAATTCAGCGTACGAGATAACAGAAAGAGGACATCTGTAGCCCTATTGAAAGACTTGTTTAACAAGATTAGCATGGAGATTATCGAACTTTACATGGGTCCCTTTTCCCCTGACCTCTTTTCAACTCTCTTTCCAGAACACTTCCTTTCCATTCCACCACATACTTCGAGCGCCGAGAGGTTTTGCATGATATTTTAATGGGAGATGTTTGAATAAACCACAGTCATTTGTGCTTTTTTGGTAACCGTGACAGTCGTTTTAACAGCCAAATTTGACCACAGCTTTGGGCCAGTGTGTGCTTGATATTATGGGACACAGTTGTCAGGCTTGTCAGTCACTGTGTTGTTGTGACGACGTGTTTGTATAAGCGTATAAAGGATGGCGGTTTGTCTGCACTGCTCAAACAAATGTTGGTAATACCAAGGTACTTTAAAATAGACCATGGTATTGTTTTGTAAGTGACATTTTAATGAACAAAAAGTCAACCATTTTAAGGATAAAGCAAAATGTAAGCAATTTAATTAACATAGTAAAGTGGTTACACTTTGCTTTATCATTTAATTTGTGTGTGTGTGTGGCAAGCATCAATACAGTAAAAAGTCAGTGTTACAAAAAAACTAAAGTTGAATTGGACAACCATTTCAAGTAATAACTTCTATTTTTAAGAGTTTTATTGTGGATTTGCAACCTGAATGAAATCATTAACTATAGTGACAGTCGTTTTAACAGCCAAATTTGACCACAGCTTTGGGCCAGTGTGTGCTTGATATTATGGGACACAGTTGTCAGGCTTGTCAGTCACTGTGTTGTTGTGACGACGTGTTTGTATAAGCGTATAAAGGATGGCGGTTTGTCTGCACTGCTCAAACAAATGTTGGTAATACCAAGGTACTTTAAAATAGACCATGGTATTGTTTTGTAAGTGACATTTTAATGAACAAAAAGTCAACCATTTTAAGGATAAAGCAAAATGTAAGCAATTTAATTAACATAGTAAAGTGGTTACACTTTGCTGTGTGTGTGTGTGTGTGTGTGTGTGTGGCAAGCATCAATACAGTAAAAAGTCAGTGTTACAAAAAAACTAAAGTTGAATTGGACAACCATTTCAAGTAATAACTTCTATTTTTAAGAGTTTTATTGTGGATTTGGAACCTGAATGAAATCATTAACTATAGGGAACAACACTGCTTATTTGCGTGGCTGTTTTTGTGATTGAAATATGAGTCCAAGATTGACAAAAATCACATTGTGCATACAAAAAAAAAACAACCCAATTGTATTTCAACACTATTTTATTACAGAAGTGTAGCTATTGCCATTCCCTTCGCAATTGTGTATATATTTTTTACATTCAATAAACACTGACGTTTTTTTTTTTTCAATGTAAAAAAAGAATGAAGAAAAAAAATTATGAATGTACTGCAGGGCATAGCTGCCTTCTGATCATATGTGACTAGATTTACACGAAAAGCAGCATTGAGGTGCATTAACCTGAATATACATGTTTTATATTTTCAATAATGGCATGGGGAGCGAGTAATGGACCAACATCCACTTTTTTCCTAATAAAAAAGCAATTTGTCACTTTAATAGTAGAAATGTAGCTTTAAAAGAATGATGTCATAGACACACGTGAAGCCTGTCTGAAGATAACTATTTGATAGCTATAGGTGATTTTGATCAAAAAGTATCATATTCAGTGAAATACGGTGTTAATTATACTGTATTGTTACTTAAGTATACAGAAGTTCATTTAAATAAATTTCGAAAAGCAGTATTTGAAACACTGTGTACTGTAGTATTACAAAATCATGCTGTCATGGGAATTTTTTTTGTCTTTAATTCAAACAAAATAATATCTTCCATGAAGAAGATAAAAAAATCTGTTGTTCATTGAGAAAATTACCTGCATCTTCCCTCCTCTAAGACATTATATTCATAGGAGAATATATTTATACAGGTATAACTTGAATATTAGTGTTTCACAAATAACATATGAAATAGTTGTTTGTTGTAACTGTGCTAGTAATTAATTATTGTATGGGTCCTGAACGTGCGAGAAAGGATGTATAAGGGCCATTTACTCAGTCCAGATATGTGCTCACTTTGAGATGGAGAGTTTTAAGGATTTTATTTCCATAGTAATACACTGTATTATTTACTCAGTTTGACACCAAGGGAGAGAAAACCAATGCTGTGAAAATGTGCGAGAATAACAAAGCGCTCCACAAACAATCCAACAGTTTCAATGGTAAAAGAGGTTGGGAGTTTTCCACTCACGTGCTCCAGACTCTAACCTGTCTAAATAGTTCAAAACATCTGTCCGAAGAGAGGCCATTTGCCCTCAAGAGTCTTTCGCTGTGAGAAAACGGCATGCTGAAACACCCCATCCCCTTCAATAGCAACAAAAAACACCAAAGGAGCATCTAACGTAACTACACCAGTACGTTTGTAGGTTTACACACTGCCATCATCTTCTGTCCATAAAGTGCTCTCTTTTGTCCTGGGGAATGACTAAAGGAAATGAGGGATAAGTCTGAAAGTTTGTTTTGTTTTCAAACGGCCGGTAGCAGTTTTCAGTAGACGTAGCCCTCGTTGTACGGGTGCGGATTGCAGTAGCCGCCCTCTTGAATGTACGCCATGTTCTCATCGAAGTGTGACAACGGCACGGTGTCTTCCTCATTGATCTGCCGCTCCAGGTCGGTCTTCAGCACCGGGCGCTGATTGTCAGGGAAGGCCATGGAGAACAAAGCCTCGGGGTCGCAGACAAACTTATACACGTATCTTTCGCCTGCCACCTTTGAGTCAAGAAACCAGAATATTACTATACATTTCAACAGTGCAAGGACAATGTTTTTTTTATGACTTGCATTCAAAGAGTTTTTGGGAAGTTGACAAATAACATGTCTTTAAACTTTTTTTACGTGATTTCCTCTGAATATAAACAAGGCGCAGTGCATGCAAGTTTACGTCAGCAGCACCACACGCATGTGTTGTTTACGTGCAGATCAAAGCACACACAATCGCACATGCATCATGATACTCTCCAAAATTAATTGTTGAATAAAGTTATTATTTTTGTTCTCTTTGCACACAAAAAGTATTCTCGTAGCTTTGTAAAATTACGGTTGAACCACTGATGTCACATGAACAATTTTAACGATGTCCTTAATACATTTTTGTGCCTTGATCGTGGTAGTACCCTTGCTGTCTATGGAGGGTCAGAGAGCTCTCGGAGTTCATCAAAATTATCTTAACTTGTGTTCCGAAGATGAACAAAGGTCTTATGGGTTTGGAATGACATAAGGGTGAGTAATTAATGACAGAATTTTCATTTTTGGGTGAACTATGCCTTATAAGCCATCTATCTATATATATATATTTGAAAAAATTTATTCAATTATTTTAGAACAATAAAATGTCAAAAAACAAGAATTGTCACTACATTCAAGTCCAAATTTGGATGTTTTGTTGTTCACCATGAATTACCATTTTTGCTTAAAATATCCTAAAAGTTATAACTACAGTAAAAAAGGTAAGATTTTTAAAAATGTCTTTAAAAAGCCTAACCAATTCTTCATTTATTTTATGAAAAAAAACAGTAATATTTCTAAATAGTATTGCAATTTAAAAAAAATTATATATTTATAAAAACAATTAAAAATTTAAATCAGCATTTATTTGAAATATAAATATTTAGTAACATTATAAATGTCCTTACTGGCATTCTTTTGAACAATAGTGCACTCAGACTTTAGCATTGCAGCTGAGCATTACATTTTCCTATTAGCATATGAGCTTTAAAACAGTCATTAGCATTATTAAAAAGTAACTTATTATGAAAAGAGTCAATATATGCAAAAAGGACAGTATTTTGAAAGTATAAACACTAGTTGTGATGTGTTTCATGGTGTATCAGAAGCCTGTATTACCTTTTGCATGATGCCTTTCTCATAGTAATAGCGCAGCGATCTGCTAAGTTTGTCGTAGTTCATAGCAGGCCGGTTCTTTTGAATTCCCCAACGTCGCGCCACCTTTGAAGCAAAGGGAATACGTTGTTACAAATTAAGGTACTGCAAAAATATAGAAGTTTCTCTCAAACATTACACAAAGATAAGACCTAACACCCACTAAACTAGCTCACACAAGGGCCCTCCACAAAAGTAAAGCACTGACGGGTCTATAGCTAAACCCTGTCAGGGGTGAAATACAAGTCGGCGTCCTCTCATTGGCCACAGCCGTGTACTCATACCTCTAGTTAGAGATGTGTTCATTAGGAACAGCAGATTGTGGCAGATGTTCCTGCACCTGTCTGCACGACCACCCACCTGTGCCCCCCTCCTTTTCAAATCTCCCTCCCACCTCTCTTCCAGAGCCCGGCGCTGTGGGCCTTTTTCACTCTACTGCAGCTCATTCACGCCTTGCACCCGCCCAGACAATCCCAACGGCCCACAGTCACCTGATGGCATGAATAACTCCCCTGTTCCCTACAGCTGCCCTGTGGACCAACGCCAGTACACACACACACACATACACACATACAGAACTAACAAATTCCACTGTTGCCGACACTTTACACAAACACACCTTTGTCCGTGCTTTCCAAACACTTCGGACTTTTTGGAGAGTCGACATGTTGAAATACTTAATTTTTTTTGGATGGACATGACTGGCACTTTTGAACACACAAATAAAGAGACTCTCTAGGAATCAAAACTTGCATATAGCGTGGAGATATTTTAAATTTAGTAAAGATAATCAGATAATGATGTAATTAAGCAATATATCATGTCCTAAAATTATTGTAACCCTATAAAGCCAACTGTATCATATTTGATGCACACAATTTAAAAGCCTTTAAATTATTAGCATGATTCAAACTTTGCTGAAAAGCAAATGTAGCATATTTTTGCTCTGTTTGGGCCTCTGAATAAAACTGAGGTGTTTTATTTTTCCCCAAATATGAGCTCCATATTCTCCTATATCTTAATATATGAACCATAAAAGCCTGAAGTATCAGATATGATATTCAGCAAAAAACCCTGTGCATTAAAAAATATATAGGCTCAATAAACTGTCCCATTAAAAAAAAAAGAAATTCCGGTTATTTTTTTCATGTCAGGTTTTATAGGGGGTTAAATTTTTAGAAAAAAATACTTATTTTAGTTCCTTTAAATTATTAATGTCCTAAAACAATTTTTATTAAATCCCACCAACACAATACACACCACATACAGATAAAATCTTGGTTGAAAAATGTACTATTGAGACTAGTTAGTACCTCCTCGGGCTCAATGAGTTTAAACTCCATTCCCCGTCCTGTCCACGCAATGAAGTGTGAGTTTGAGGGGTCATCCAATAGGGCCACCAAAAACTGCCAGAGCTGCAGCGAGCCTCGTCTCTGATAGGTCGGGCCTTCACGGTACAGCCCCGCCTCTTGCTTTATATCACCTGTGGGAGGAAAAATAACAAAAGACGTTAGCTCCCATAGCCAATCCTATAACGCCTATGGGCTAGACATCATCATGGTGAAACTGGGCATAAACAAAAATACAATAAAAAGTAAAGTAATGGCACAGCCTTCAATGGATAAAGTTATCATTTTCTATGTTACATGTCGGGAGGCTCATACAGTATTCAAGACTATAGATGAATGTACAGTAAAGAGTCAACTTATTATTTAATAAATAATATTTAACTCAGCGCATAAATATAAGTAAATAAATAAATACATACTTTCAACCTTCTCTGGTACCACACAAGTGTCATCATAGAAGTGCCTTGCAACTTTGTCGAACATGCATCCTATTGAGTAAAGACATTGAGATATTGTTATAATCTGACTTTTTACATTAAATAAAACTTCAAATTAGACATTTTAAATAATAAAATAGCCATATAAGATAAAATATATTATACTGCGTGGATAGTTACCCTCTGTTCTGTTATTGTGGGCCAGATATCCTTCTTGTCTAAGATATACAGAGTGACAGCTAGGCACTTCTGAAAAAGGAAAACGAAACAAAAAAAGCATTTTAAAAAGCGGAAAAAAATGATGCATGGGTTCAGCTAAAAATGAAAACTTATATTTATTTATGCATTTATTTATTTGCTTACTATTATTTTCCATTTTAAGACAATGGAAAAAAATTCCCAGGACATCATCCCATTTTATATTCAAAAGAGTAGGTTAAAACATTATGGACAACAGATTTGTGAGGATTAACCGCAGTGGACGCCTTGTGCTCCGCGTCAGTCGTGTTGTTTGTTGGAGATGTGATTCAGTCAAAGCAAAGCAAGACAGCTTAAGTGAATGCTCCATAAAACATCTAACCCTGTTCATTTGGACCTATAAAGATCTCTCAGGGTTTCATTCAAGTAATGGGCCTGTCGAGGAAATTACCGCTGATTAAATTAGCAGCTGACTGACCAGTCCTTACACAGCTCACAACAAACAAACTCCTTTATGAGGCAGAATAAATTCTTCTAAATGGCTGGGAGAGGATGCAAAACATGTCGATGATCTCCGCCACTGATGTAAAGAACCAATGCAGACAAATCACTCGCACTCACAAAGCTCTCATCACTTCATTTGTTAGCTTTTAGTGAGTCTAATTTTATAGATAATAATTGGACAATATGTTATAGATAATAATATCGACATACAATGTAAAAGTTAATGCGTACTGTATGTACCTGCAAAAATATCTTACATTTTTTAACAATTATTTAGGAACTGTCAGAGTATCTGTTGTAAATATTAATTTTAAAATAATAATATTAAACAATTGTGATTAAAAAAGTAATTTTATGAACTAAAATAAGAATAACTTTTATATTGTTAGTAATATTTTAAGATGAACACATACTGGACTAAAGCATACTGTATAACATAAAGTTTAACATAAACTAATGGTCTGTTGTAAATTCAGTTAATTTCAGAATAATAATAAAACATATTTTGTTTAAAAATATAATAAATTTGATTATGTTGCTTTGACATTAAGTAAACAGGAAAGGCCCCAGTATTACTGCTATTATCCTCGGGTTATATTTTACAGATTCACATAATCAACAGGAAACCGCTGAGAAGCAGTGCTGCCTTCTTTCCTGACAGGCGGCTGCTTCCACCTCCATTTTTTTATGAATGAAAACCAAAAGCCTCTTCATTCATGCCAGAGCTGGGCCGAAAGCCTGGGGGCCCCTGGGGGAGAGATTAGGGGCCCCTCTCCTTTCCAGCCAGGCCCTCAGGAAATGAGATCAGGCCCAAATTTCCTAATAACACGCTAATTCTATCAATCTCCCTGTCCCTAATAAAGTTGCTATCTGGCTGTATGAGTAGCCAAAAGAAAACAAAAGAAAAATGATCTTCAGACTGTTTCCTGTTAGTTTAGTGAAGTACATACTGTCTCCATATCCTTATAAATCTTGCTTTATTTATTTATTTATTTATTAAAAATGTCCCCTATTTATTCTATTCTATTTGTTTATTTTTCTGTTTAATTATTTAAACTTTAGGGTCTTTTCATGTTTTTGAAGCACATGTTTTTTTTGCACAAAATACAGTAATATTGTGAAATATTTTTACAATTTAAACGGTTTTCTATTGTAATATATTTTTAAAAAGCTGAATCTTCAGCATCATTACTCCAGTCTTCAGTGTCACATGATCCTTTAGAAATCATTCTAATATGCTGACTTGGAGCTCAATAAACATTTATTTTTATTATCAGTGTTGAAAACAGTTGCGTAAACAGTTTGTAAATGTTACAAATCGAGCAATATACTGCTCTGTCAGTATTAGCAGACTTGTAAACGTATAGAAACGAAACTCACCTGAGTCGTAGGTGAAGTCGCGAGGCTCTTGTTTGATCATCATGGAGTGCGGGTACGTCTGGGGGAGCGGCGCCCCCACCATGGCCGGATGTTCGAAGAGGGGGTCTCCGTACTCCTGCTTGAACCCCTGAGGAGGGAAGGGGATGCTGGGTTCTGACATCTGTCTGTGATACATGGGCCGTCCGTCCCGCGACATCGAATGAGAGGGGAACGAATGACACGGCTCTGACAACTGCCGCCGAAATCTGAACAAAACACTGAATAGAATAAGTATCACGCATGATATCTATCTATCTATCTATCTATCTATCTATCTATCTATCTATCTATCTATCTATCTATCTATCTATCTATCTATCTGTCTGTCTGTCTGTCTGTCTGTGTCTCTGTCTGTGTCTGTGTCTCTGTCTCTGTCTGTGTCTCTGTCTGTCTGTCTGTGTCTGTCTGTCTGTTTGTGTCTCTGTCTGTCTGTCTGTCTGTCTGTCTGTCTGTGTCTGTGTCTGTGTCTGTGTCTGTGTCTGTGTCTCTG